CCCCCGGCACCGTTTCCGGACAGATCCGCTGGATCCGCTGGATCCGCTGGATCCGGTGACGAATCCCAAACCGGCGCCCTTGAGACATCCTCACAAAACGGCCCCGGGGGAGGTGCCCAGAGGGGCCAAGAGCGGACTCCGGCACCGTTCCCGAACAGATCGGTGGATCGGGACGAAATCCCCAAACCGGCGCCCTCGCTTGAAACATCCTCACAAAACCGGCACCGGAGGCAGTGCCCAGAGGCTCGAGCCCAGAGCGGCCTCCGGCACCGTTTCCGGACAGATCCGGTGGATCCGCCGACGAATCCCAAACCGGCGCCTTCGCTTGAGACATCCTCACAAAACCGGCCCCGGGGGAGGTGCCCAGAGGAACCCAGAGCGGCCTCCGGCACCGTTTCCGGACAGATCCGCTGGATCCGGTGGATCCGCCGACGAATCCCAAACCGGCGCCCTCGCTTGAGACATCCTCACAAAACCGGCCCCGGGGGAGGTGCCCAGAGGAGCCCAGAGCGGACTCCGGCACCGTTTCCGGACAGATCCGGTGGATCCGGTGGATCCGCCGACGAATCCCAAACCGGCGCCCTCGCTTGAGACATCCTTGCAAAACCGGCCCCGGGGGAGGTGCCCAGAGGAGCCCAGAGCGGCCTCCGGCACCGTTTCCGGACAGATCCGGTGGATCCGCCGACGAATCCCAAACCGGCGCCCTCGCTTGAGACATCCTCACAAAACCGGCCCTGGGGGAGGTGCCCAGAGGAGCCCAGAGCGGCCTCCGGCACCGTTTCCGGACAGATCCGCTGGATCCGCTGGATCCGCTGGATCCGGTGACGAATCCCAAACCGGCGCCCTCGCCTGAGACATCCTCACAAACCGGGCCCCGGGGGGGATGCCCAGAGGAGCCCAGAGCGGCCTCCGGCACCGTTTCCGGACGGATCCGCTGGATCCGCTGGATCCGGTGACGAATCCCAAACCGGCGCCCTCGCTTGAGACATCCTCACAAAAACGGCCCTGGGGGAGGTGCCCAGAGGAGCCCAGAGCGGCCTCCGGCACCGTTTCCGGACAGATCCGGTGGATCCGCCGACGAATCCCAAACCGGCGCCCTCGCTTGAGACATCCTCACAAAACCGGCCCAGGGGGAGGTGCCCAGAGGAGCCCAGAGCGGCCTCCGGCACCGTTTCCGGACAGATCCGGACAGATCCGGTGGATCCCACCACCGGCGCCCCTCGCTGGCAGGTCCTCACAAAACAAGCCCCGGGGGAGGTGCCCAGAGGAGCCCAGAGCGGCCTCCGGCACCGTTTCCGGACAGATCCGGTGGATCCGGTGGATCCGCCGACGAATCCAAAACCGGCGCCCTCGCTTGAGACATCCTCACAAAACCGGCTCCGGGGGAGGTGCCCAGAGGAGCCCAGAGCGGCCTCCGGCACCGTTTCCGGACAGATCCGGTGGATCCGGTGGATCCGCCGACGAACCCAAACCGGCGCCCTCGCTTGAGACATCCTCACAAAACCGGCCCCGGGGGAGGTGCCCAGAGGAGCCCAGAGCGGCCTCCGGCACCGTTTCCGGACAGATCCGGTGGATCCGGTGGATCCGCCGACGAATCCCAAACCGGCGCCCTCGCTTGAGACATCCTCACAAAACCGGCCCCGGGGGAGGTGCCCAGAGGAGCGGCCTCCGGCACCGTTTCCGGACAGATCCGGTGGATCCGGTGGATCCGCCGACGAATCCCAAACCGGCGCCCTCGCTTGAGACATCCTCACAAAACCGGCCCCGGGGGAGGTGACCAGAGGAGCCCAGAGCGGCCTCCGGCACCGTTTCCGGACAGATCCGGTGGATCCGCTGGATCCGCTGGATCCGGTGACGAATCCCAAACCGGCGCCCTCGCTTGAGACATCCTCACAAAACCGGCCCCGGGGGAGGTGCCCAGAGGGGCCCAGAGCGGCCTCCGGCACCGTTTCCGGACAGATCCGGTGACGAATCCCAAACCGGCGCCCTCGCTTAAGACATCCTCACAAAACCGGCCCCAGGGGAGGTGCCCAGAGGGGCCCAGAGCGGCCTCCGGCACCGTTTCCGGACAGATCCGGTGGATCCGGTGACGAATCCCAAACCGGCGCCCTCGCTTGAGACATCCTCACAAAACCGGCCCCGGGGGAGGTGCCCCGAGGAGCCCAGAGCGGCCTCCGGCACCGTTTCCGGACAGATCCGGTGGATCCGGTGACGAGATCCGGCACCGTTTCCGGACAGATCCGGTGGATCCGCTGGATCCGGTGACGAATCCCAAACCGGCGCCCTCGCTTGAGACATCCTCACAAAACCGGCCCCGGGGGAGGTGCCCAGAGGAGCCCAGAGCGGCCTCCGGCACCGTTTCCGGACAGATCCGGTGGATCCGGTGACGAATCCCAAACCGGCGCCCTCGCTTGAGACATCCTCACAAAACCGGCCCCGGGGGAGGTGCCCAGAGGAGCCCAGAGCGGCCTCCGGCACCGTTTCCGGACAGATCCGGTGG